CTGCTACACAGAAAGCCTCAACAGTCATGCTTCTGGACTAGGAAGGCAGCTCTAGCAGAAGGGACACACAAAAAGGGTACCTTTTTCACAACTTCTCATATGAACTCCCTGGGGCAGCGCATATGGCATGTAGCCAGGGAAAATGCCTAAGACAACAACTACTCTCACCACTTGTATTAGTATTAGAATATTGAAATATCTCGGGATATAACTGGCCTAAAACCCTGTATTAGGTCAGTAAATAACCAATCAGCAGTAAGCGTCAACAGATCACTCCACTTCCCACCTTGGGCCTGAGGCATTCAGAGGATCATGCTCCTTTGCTTTGGGCAACAACCTAGGCAGATACACTTCCAGAGCCTATGATGTCACTTGTACCACAGTTAGAGGATCACCTTGGGCTCCAAATCTGGCATGTGAATGTGGGGCTGACCTGATGAAGCTCAAAGCCTTAGGCAGCACTCCTGTCCATCCCACCAGGGAAGCTTTGCCTGTGTGTTTTAGGACCCCATTCTATCCATCAGGTCCAGTCTAGGGTTCTAGGGCAAGTCTGAGCTCCAGAGACGGTGAGCTAGTGCCATTGTGCCGCTTGGTTCTTGGCTACCCATTTGTACACATCCTGACCTGTGGAGTGTTTGCCCTGGTCACTAGCAATCCTCCAAGGTACCCCATGCTCAATTGTTATCATTAATCTTTGTAACCGCGTGGTTTGCGTGGAAATGGCTGGGTAATGCTGGTAACCATGTTCACCTACCCAAGAGCCTATTTCACTCTTTCCTTGAGGGAGGGGATGAAATGATCAAATCTGTTAGTCATGACTGTGTTCTCTCTTGTATCTGTCCAAGGTCATGGGGCAATGTTTTAGACAGAGCCAGCAAATCGTTATACCTTACTGCTTTGTCTGCTTCTCTTGTTATCCTTGAATCAACATGGGCACCACAGTGCCACTTCGTTGGCAGCTTCCCCTTTACAGTGCACCATTCTGACCTTGTGCTGTAGCTTCTGCCTCTTTGTTTCCCAGTGGGGAAAGAGGTGAACGGGCCGCTATATGAAAACCAGGTCAGCATCGGAGGTTTGGAAGCAATCCCAGATGTCCTGTTCCAGAGATCATTCCCAAAGCATCCTGCCCACAGGTTAGGTTTGTGGATGTTCATCACCTATGCAGCCCTTCATTTGGCCTATTGGTTACTTTGTCTTGAACTAGTTTCACACAACTTGGCTAGAGTCACGTGTGCATCTGCTAGCATTGGGCCTTTCCCCTTTAGGCACAGAACCCAGCATTCCCTCTGCCACCAGGCTTTCAGATTCTTGAAAGCTTGATCCTGGTTTTTTTTTGGTCTAGTCTCTCTCTTTTTTCCTTTTTAAACCAATTGAGAAAGTCGTCTTAATCACTAGGCCATGTGGGATAGAAACAACCCCGGTACCCTAAAAGTCCCATGAAGACTTGTATTTCTTTTGGTATGCCCCAGGGGTAGGGAAAGCTTGTCACCACACAGATCTTACCTAAGTTGAAAACTCCTGGGAATTTACCACCATTCCCCACCCAGGCACCTTTTGGGATGGGAGTGGCTCACAGCCATCCTGTCCATGGTAGGTGGGATTAGCGTGTCCTGTAACAGAAAAAACATCTTCAGCCATTAACGCGATGTCATCAAGTAATGGAAACAGAGTCAGGTCCCTAGCAAGCATACCTAATATCTACGAAGAGTTTTTCCAGGAGTGCTATAGTGAGAGGCTCTGTTCATCATGTGTGAATGGCCAAGAAACTGAACAACAAGATGCCAACTCCCCAATAGTTATATAGTGGTTTTTTTCAGACCTTAATTTTCTGTGGCAATGTTCTGGGTGGCCACAATATCTCCATGCCTCTCCACGGGTGTTTCTATAGCTCTGCTGAACAAAGATGCTGGGGCCCCAAGGCCACTCCATCAGAAGACTTCAAGAGCGACTTTGCAAATGGAAGTGAGCTAGCACCGAGCTAGCACTAAATACAGCCATATTTAGTCTCAAAAACCCTGTTTCTATCCAAGGTCAATATACCCAAAGATGAATGAAAACTATAATCTTAATGATTGAATAGGGAACTCCACAAACATATGGAGACAAAAACCCACTAAAACCAAATAGAACTTTTAGAATGAAACAGTATGTTAATTGAAATGAAAATTTTACTGGATGGATTTACAGCAATTTTGAGATGGTAGAAGTAGGAATTGGCCAATTAAAATCAAAGCAGTAGAAACCATACAGTCTGAAGAATTAGAGAAAAGAAAAACTGAAGGAAAATAAAGAGAATATCTGGATCCTGTTAAATAATAATAAATGGTCTAATGTATACTCAGATTTTATGAGGCTGGCTTACTGTAGATTACCAATCAGGAAAGAACAATACATAAAAGCAGAGAAAATTATAGGCCCAATTATCATACATATGTAAAAAACCCTTAAACAAAACATTAGGTAACATAATACAAAGATATTTTCACAAAATACGTAATATGAGATGACAAGAAAGGTTCCACCTCCAAAAGCAGCATCAAACAAGCCAGAGGTTAAAAATGTGTATGATTGTTTCAATAATGAGTCTAGAAAGAGCATTTGAGAATGTTCAATACCTACTGACTTTGCACATATTAATGAGGAACTGAACATACAAAAGTAGAAAAAGAAAGGAAAAAAAAGAGTATGCTCTATCTTCATGTAGCCACTAGCAGGGGTCCTCAAACTTTGTAAACAGGGGGCCAGTTCACTGTCCCTCAGACCCGTTGGAGGGCCGGACTATAGTTAAAAAAAAAAAAAACTATGAACAAATCCCTATGCACACTGCACATATCTTATTTTGAAGTAAAAAAAACCAAACACAGCAAAAACACCCAGCAGGCCAGATAAATGTCCTCGGCGGGCCGCAGTTTGAGGACCCCTGTGAGGCTAGATGGGTGTCAAACTGGGTGATTGGGAAGATAACATCCGACAGCAGTTTGAATCCACCAGCCTCTTTCAGAGAAAGATGAGGCTTCGGGGCATTTTTACTCAATAGAGCAGGGCCTCTGTGAGTCGGTACCCACTGGACGGCAATGAGTTCAGTCGAAAGGGAGATGGGGAAATGGAGGAGAGAACAGCGCAAACTGTTGTTGAATGCAAACAGGATCTGATATGCAAGCCTCCACCTAGAGGTTTTAAAAAGTTTACAAAAGGACTTATGAATAATTTTAAGACCTATGACAAATTGGGAAATTTGTCTCGGGAATAAACCCTAAAGAAATAAAGAAGACAGCAGGAGCAGATATATTCACACTTATGTTTATTGCAGACATTTTCATAATTGGAAACAGCCAAATATTCCAATTAGAGAGGAATGGATGAGCAAACTTATCAATTGGAACACTCATTCAATGGAATGTTATGCATCAATTAAAAACAATGACAACTCAACTCGGTCAAACATTGCAAGATACGGGCAAAACAATATACTGTACTTAGCAAAGTTAGGCAATCGCATAAAGCTAACGCTTTAAGGATACCATTATTCCATAGAAAAATAAAGGAAAAGAACAGTGTTTTTCACATCAAAGGATAAGACTTTGCAGACTACAAGGAAGAGGAAAACAGGGGCAGAGGCAGGAGGAGGGGAGACAGAAAACTATGGAGGGAGGGTGGGACAAAGTGTAATGGGAAAAAACAGCATTTATGGGGGATTTGAAATGATACTATTACTGATAGGATTTGATGAGATGGACTGTGCAACTAGTCAGAATATTTAAAACAAACAAATAAGTAAATGAAATTTTAAAAAGAGCCAGAGAGGGAAGACTCACAGCCTTAAAAACACTCTAGGTCCCTTACCCTCAGATCTAAACATTATTCCAGGCGGCTATAAAAGAAAGGAAAGGAAAAGTGAAGTGGACTTGGATTCTTTGGTGATATACAAGTTCATTTCAAACAAATGGGAAAAACATTTGCAAAGATTGACAGAACCCTTAAGGGTTCTTATGAGTCTGAATAAACTCAGTGGTTTTGTGTTTGTTTGGGTTTTTTTGTTTTGTTTTGGGGAAGTGTACAATGCATTCCTCAATAAAAATGGCTGGGTTGGACAATCTGTTAGCCTCTTTCTTTTGTATCTTTGATGGTCTATGGCCCCGGCCCTTCACAATTGGGCTTATTGTTGGCCTGCCAAGCAATCTACATTAGATAAGCACACTGGCGAATTAGAAAGGGCGCCTGGTCTTTAAAGAGGACACACTAAGAAGAAATCGCAGACCAGGAGAATCATCTGAGAAGCAAGTGGTATTTGAGTTAAAAGACCCTAGCGCTTTGATGTGGACAAGTCACCTTTCTGCCACCTTGTCTCGTCCCTGTTCCCACCCGACCCGACACTTGTTTCCTCACCCTGAATTTGTAATCTGTAATGTGAACTTGAAATGGGACACACATTCTTCTTCTTATTATTATATTGTTTTCTGGGGAAACTTGAGGCCACAGAGGTCCACCATTAGCCCAAGTTGCCATCCCCACAACTGGAACTCGAGACTCTTGCGTCCACTTCCCTGACCAGGTCACCGTCCCAGTATACAAGCAGCTATTCTCTGATTTATCTGGCCGAACTCCCAGTCTGACGTCACAGATGGACTGCCCCGCCCCCGCCGGGCCACAGG